ACTGGAAATTAAACTGCAGCCTGGACTACAGATACAAAATGATGTTCCTGTTAGAACATAAATACAATGTTCTGAGGATCAATAAAAAAAAAGACTTGACGTGGAATCTATAATGCCATGACAGTGATTTCAAGCCTGGTTTTGTAAGATTAATGTCCTCGGCGTCCATTCTGCCACATTCCTGGGTGTCCACTCAGCTTGTGTGGACAGAGGGGGGCGCCAAACTGTTGCTGGTCAGATTTAAACTGAAGTTTCTCTGAATGATGCTGTGGTCACAGACAGAGAAATGTCTCAAAGTTTTCCATAATATTGAAGGGGCAGATCCATCTTTAAAATGTTTTCGTGGGTGCTGGTTGCTCATAAAGATGAAAGACATTTTCATCTCCAATCTTAATCACCGTCAGCGTGTGTTTTTTTTATTATCTTTGTAATCACTATGGCAACAGAGGAACACTACTGAGGAGGAGAGAAGGGGTGTAGTTACAGCCAGGGTGGTGTGGGAAGAGGGCAAGATTCAGAGGGAAGAAGAGAGCGACTGGTGGAAGTGGGAGAAACTTTGTTTTTGCAAAGAGAAGAAGAGAGAGAAGAAACCAGGAGCAAAGAGAACGTAGCAGTTTTTGTCCATCATGCGCCTCAGTTTGGTGATGCTTTTCATCCTCCTTTCCCAAATGGAGCTGGCTGAAGTTTGGGCTGGGCAGCACTCAGGTGAGCTCTTTGCCTTTTTCTCTGATGTGCACACACAGACTGCAGGTGGTGCCGGCCTTTCTTTACTGTTTTTCATTTGCTGTTTGGGTGATTGATGCTTTACACCCGTTGCAGTTTTTTCTTCAAAAATGTTTGTATAATCGCAGAAATGTACCCCTTTGTTTTCAAGTTGAATGGCGAGTTGGTGTCTGTCTTCATTGTCACTCAGATGCTAAGTGCCACTTTGTTTTCTATTTCAATGTGCTTTAAACCACAGAACTTCTGTAGGAATCTTTATGGAGCTGCAAATGGGCATGCCATGCTTTTCTCATTTTACACACAAAAGTGAATGAACTAGCTTACAATAAAGTGCACAATAAAATAAAAAAAAACATAATCCACAAGCACGAAACTGAGTCTCAGCAGCAACCCGCAAACAGCCTTTCTCAAGTTTAAAATTAGATTTGGGGTTGTTTTCCTTTTTGCCTCGCAGCTACAGTCTGGTACACATTTTCAGGAGGTTGCGAGAGACCGAGCATGGATTTATCATTTTCTGTACACCGCTTTCTCTTTTTACAGGCTCGGATTTGGACAGGGGAGGTGAACCAAATGATATATATAAACTATGTTATTGGACCTAATGGTAATACACTGTTAAAATCTCATCTCAGTGATTTCTGATGTAAAAAGACTTTCTGTGATGGATGCCAATTTCTCATTCATTTTCACTTTGCTGATGGAGCTCATGAGAAATGCTGATTTATTTGGATATTTATTGGGATTTCAGAGCTCTGCGTGAGGAAATGTGCTGCACATAAACCAGAACTGTGCAGGGGGCACTTGCAACATCATGGGTCAGCTGTCAGCATCGACCCACAGATAATCCTCCTTTCCTCTTTCCGTTTTTTTCTTATTTGTCTTGGCACTGAACCGTTCGTACAGTTCAGTTTCTAAAGGTTTGGTCCAGAGAGAGCCATCGACGCCATCTGAATCAGACTGTAAAAACACGGAGCCTCGGGCTGAAAATGAACTGCTCACATCACAATGACCTCAGCCTTTGGCCTCTTGTCTTTTGAGAGGTTTGTTCAGCACAAATCTTGAACGTGGTCCAAACAATTTGGACTTAGGCATAAATCAGACAAACAGGAACCAAAGTTAAATGGATTGTTGGGTAATACTAAACCACAGGGAAGTTTGTGGATCCCACACGGACCATCAATTAATAGAAGTCACATTCAATATGACTTGTAACAGCAAAACATACAAATGTTTTAGGAAAGTCGACACGAAAAATAAAAAAAATCAGTTTTATTCGATATAAGACTTCATTTATATTCAGTACAAAAAAAAACATTTAGCTTTCAAATTATTGAGCAACTTGAAATGTTTGTATGGGAAATAGTTTTTCACTGAACTCTGACTCATTCAGTCATTTCACTTATCAGAAAATGAAAACATGATCTCTGTCCCCAGCATCCTGACGGCTGGATTCTCCTCATAAGGACAAAACCCAATCTTTACGTCTGTGGACAAGATAGAAAGGTTGTTTTCTTTTTACAGGGGATGTTATAACTTATATTTAGACTTTTTAAGATTAACTGTGTATGAAACAAGGCTCCTCCAAAATTAATGAACAAATGTGGTCATTTCTGGTGGTTGCAGTCTGGTTCTTGGTGAGCACCTTCGCTTTTTAATGGGAGTTTGTTCTCTACTTTCAAAGAGGTCAAGACAAAAGTCTTAATTTGGGCAAGAGCTATTTTGGTGGAGTGAGACTAGAGAAAGATAAATCTGCATTGCAGCCACATATTCTGAAATGAACTATGGACGTTTCTTGTGGGTGATGGTGAGGAGTCCATGCCAATTCCTCCGGGCTCTGCTCAGGAAGGGTGTGCCGTCCCTCACCAGACTGAGCTGACCACTCACAGAAAAAGTCAGCTAAACGTTGAGGTTTGGTAGCTCCTAAAACGCGGGCAGAGGCCAGTCTTCAGGCCATCTGGCCTCGTAGTGCCTATGCATTAAGAAAATGTTTCCTCTTTTACCTCAAATGTCTTCTCCACATGCTTATCATCCTTTTCCTCAACATTTTTTATGCTCTGAACCAAATGTTTGGATGTCTATATTCTCTTGATGATTTTTTTTAACCAAATAACATGTTTCTTCGTACGGTGACCCACCAGCACCATTCACACGTAGTCACTTTACCACCACTGAAGATCAGAATTAAAAAGTGAGAGGCCATTATCTATTCTTAGGCATTATCCCCAAACTACACCACAAGCCAGTGTTTTTTTAATTCTTCCCAAAAGGAAGAACAGATGTGCAAATTGGGTTTGACACTGATTCATCACATCGGTATTGTGTTGCAATCCTCCCAGTTGCATGTGTGAGGTACGGCTCTCTAATTAAATGATAACTTTATGACATCAAACTGTCTTCAGATTTGTGCAAAATGGAAGCCTTAAAAAAAAAAACTTTGTTCAAACCAGAATGAATTTCAATATTGAACATCAGTTTGTATCATTTCAGACATAGAGTATGAAAGATACTTTCATTAAACAAATCGTAACATTTGGTTCTTGTTTCTGAGAATTAAGGCAACTGAGGACTCAAAATCATAAGACATCTTTCCCTAAAATGAACAAACAGGAGATGACAGACTTTTAAAAAAAGTTTGATTTGTTTTCTTTTGTCCTTCTTGTATGGAAAACAAATTATGAATACCCAGCAGCTAAGGTAGCAGCTTGAAGTAAATAATCTAATCAGAAAGTGAGTTCTCTTAAGATCTAACTGGACAGCTGACAGTCCGACTCACATCTTCCTGATTTCATACTCTGCCATTTAATCTAATAACGCTGGCATGGCTTGAAAGAAGTCATGATTTCATAAAAGCTACGGCGTGCACGGCCCTGGTGAGGGTGAAGAGGATTTCTCCTCTCCACTGCTTCTCCCCTTACCTCATGGATGCCTTAACAGGGTGGACCTGCTGCTCAACAATCTCACATCTATCTTCGACGACACACTAACTGCCCGAAAAGCTTCGGCACGTGATTTAATTCAATAAAAGGGTGGATGAAAACAAATGCAAGTGCCCTATGAGGTCAAGAAATTTGGAGGTTGACTTCCAGTACTTAACGTGCAGGTGACTGCGGAAGCCATCAGGATTTGACTGTAACTTTGTGCATGTGGAGCGATGTTTAAAGCAGACCTCACCGATGTCCCACACACACTGAGCTCTGGGGGTTTGGCTCAGGACGTCCCCCCCCCTCAAACTCAAAGACGAACCCAGGCTCTTTATACCAACATCGACTAAAAAGTTGCTGGCAAAAGATGAACTCCAGTGGGCACCGGATACACGTAAAATGTCAGGTTTAATGTTCTGAAGCGTGTTTTGCAGTCGAGTGCCATGTTTTCTGGGATACTGCTCCACTTTGCTCTGGTTCTCAACAAGGCTTTGTCTTAACAATGAGGGTTTGCTGCACGGCAGTTAGGACTGATTTTTAAATGGGGCAATTGTCTGATTACTATGAACTATAAAGAATGAGAGGGAGTGGGGAAAATGTGTGCACTGAAGGAAGCACCCAGCTGTCTTTAATTAGGCTTTAAAAGTTAAGTGACTTGGCAAGTGCTGAAATACTCCAGAGGTTGTTAAGAAATGCCTGGAAATAAACACGCCTGTACATGAATTTTTTAAAACAAAAATACAAATGTTTAATGCTAAAAGATTTGTCTTTAATCAGGGATAAACAGATATTGCATGAGAACAGTAAATAGTCGTCCACACCCAGTTAAATATACATGCGTGCGACTATATACTATGCTAAAATACTAAAAAATGTTGGGGTGGTGCTCCGTGAAACTTCCAAACGTTGGAACAGGCTCGAGGTTTCTCTCCGTGTTAGCTAGTTTTAGCATAACCTGCAGGACAGAAACATGGACATAGAAAACAAAATGGTTATCTTCAGAGAAATTCAACGCGTGTCTGAGCTTAGGTTTTCTAACCAGACCAATTTGAGGGTCCGACAGAGTCACCTTGCTCAGTTTTATTCTGCTCAGTTGTGGGAAAACCCGCACGAGAACACCGGAGCAACAGAGACGAACTCTTCGCGGCAGCCGAGCTGTCCGCGGCTGAATCCCGGTGTTTCATGCAGGAAACCGAGCACGGCGGGGTAGATTTTCATGGCTTTTTTTTTTTTTTCATCCCTCAGCGCTTCCAGGCCTCGTGTAATTTGCTGAAAGCCAGAAAACAACAAAACAGCAAACGCACAGTACACGAGGTAGCCAACATTTAGGGTTAGGTTAGTTACCCCGCGGAAAACAAACCGCCGGCTCGGGGTTATATAGAGGGTTTGTGACGTCACTACGGTGTCCCATTTAGTCTAAAAGGCCTGAGAGATTTATAGAACCACAAACTACAATTCATCATGTATGTATTGGATCTAGATTTGAGTTGGGGGACTAATCTGCCATCAAATTCAGGAAAAATGTGCTCCGTATTGATTCTCCGTATTGATTAACTTAGAAAACAAGCAGAGTAAATATAATCACTGATTTTATTCCGACACCATTGACTCAGAGCAAGACGGTTACTGGTTCAAATCCCTAGTGCCTTTCTGTGTGGAGTTTGCCTATTCTCCCTGTACGAGTGGAAAAACAAAGGGATTGTTTTAATATTTGTCTGTGACGGCAGTGCCAGCATTTTCTTTCTTTCATAAAAAAAAAACCTGCGGCCATAAGATTCAGTGCTATTCATAAACTTTGTGTCAAATACAGTTCCAACAATCCCGTGAAAAGCAGGGGGCACCCAGAGTTGAACTGGGGACCTCTTGATCTGCAGTCAAATGCTCTACCACTGAGCTATACCCCCTTTGTGTCTGAGCTCAACAGGGATGGACACATTGTCTGCCTATGACTGTTAGCACCTGATGGGGGAGTTTATGTGTGGAGTTGGTCTTTTTGTCCCCATATATAAGTAGATTCGCTCAGAATTTACCTTAGACTATATTCTTCTACTTTCCAGGAACTCAATTTTTATATCATAAACAGAAATGACTTACAGGAATTTAATCCAACCATGTTTCTGCAGCTGCATCAGGTTGTGTAAAGAATAAAGGCATACAAAGGACTGCTGTCAGTATAAAAATACCTTGAGACATGCATTAACCACCACAAAAATCACAGCATGGTGCAAAAATAAACACCAACCATATCCTAGAAACATGTGGTTTGAAAAAGAGTCAAATCATAAATTAAAACCCCCAAAACTTTAAAACAAACCCTCCCTACATCAGTTTGCTTACCAGATATGGTTTACTTTTGTAGGCTTTGACAGGCCTTTCTGGGCATCCCTGAATGTATTTCGTATTGTTTCTGTCTTCATTCAACAATGAATGTATCTGACATTGCTGAAAGACCAGTTCAAACGCACATTACAATTTTTCATTCCTCTGAGCAACTGAGCACAAAACCCACAACTGTAAACATCAGGCTTACGAGCTCAAATAAAACTGACATCTGAAATGTTTTGCAAATGTTGGGCTTTTTCTGTTCTTGGAAATCAATGGGCTTGTATTTTCAAATCAGATGTCGTGTCAACACTTCCCTCGCCGGGTAGAACAAATACAAATGCTCATGTGGGCTACTTTCAGCAGATTCCTGGTACGGCGTGCAGTCACGGCGGCGTGAGGAATTAACTCCTGGTGACGGAGCTGGGAGATCATCCACAGACCACAGCAGAATAAGCAGGGCAGTTCTGGGAGGAGGAGTAACAATCAACACACTGCCAGACAACATGACACGTGTGGTGGTGAGAGCTACACCACACTGTTTCTTATGACTGTAATGGTCTGAGGCATTTATTATGACCTTGCCTTGGAACCTGATGGATTTGTTTTAGTTGGAGTAAAACACTGCCCTCTTTTGGAAAGCAACATTTACACTTCTCCAAAAACTTGGAAAAACATGAAACGGCGAATGATTTAAGCATGGTCTTCGTGGATTCCTGATGACACGCTCTCCTTCGCGGCCTCAGATCCGTCCTGTTTTTGTGTCTGACAGGAGGATTCTGGCAGGTACTACACGTGGCAGAGGTTCGGCCCAGAGGACCGGCGTACGCGGGACCTGTGGGTGGACATGAGCGATGTCCGGCACGGCCAAGTTAGGGTGCATGGCATTCTGTCAAACTCCTACAAGCAGGCTGTGGTAAGGCTCACACTTATTACAAGAAAAATGATCTATCTACCACCGAACACACAAAATATTCTTTCGTTCCCATTTTTTTTGGATGGGGGGCTATTTGTTCAGTTTTTTTTTGCCATTTCAATGTGTGGCAGAAGAAAGATGTCCATTAGAGATGGAGTCTAAATGCAACACAGCTGCTCATGTGGAATTTTAAGCCTCATTTTTTGTACATGAATCATTAACACTGCCATTAGAATCCCTTCTGGACATAACAGTGACCCTAAGTGCTAATCTTCCTGTACTAGCTGATATGCTGTTTTATTTTTACAGTATTATTACTTAGAGAGGTTTAAGGGTGTGGACTGTCAACTTTCCATAACATGTCAGAAAGTAGCATACAACCTTACAGCTAAACTAATACTGGGTTACTTTATCTATGACAGAAAGGGGATATTCAGATGACTAAAGGGTAATAAGATCTGAGCTGGAGACCTGGCTCCTCACAATGGAAACGATCAGAGTGAGCCATATTAAAAATGGAGTCATGTGCTCTTCTTTTAAAAACAAAAAGATAATTAAATTAGAGAAACTGAAACTCGGATCAAGTGGGAGAAACCTGATTAAATTTCATGGTTATCACCATTAAATTTCCTCATAAAATATCACCACAACTGCCAAACAGAAATTTTGAGAAGCACATCTATTCCCTCATTTTCCTCCACAAGTGATCTGTCAAAGTAATGTTTTTGTTAGCAAAATATGTATGCTTTCTATCCACTGTCAAGGCCAAATGGAGAAAATCTGATTCTGCATCAAAGTGAGGATGGAGCATGGGGGTATAGCTCAGTGGTAGAGCATTTGACTGCAGATCAAGAGGTCCCCAGTTCAAATCTGGGTGCCCCCTGGGATAAAATGTATTTTCTTTTCACATGATTAATCAAGAGGGTGTTTTCCAAATGGCCTACCTTTGAAAGCACAATCCAGACCTCAGTGGCCGAAGCAACGCTAACAGCTAAATGCTCAGTTCAAAACGAACCTTTGATGTCAAGTCAAAGAAACATTACTTCAAACTTCATAATTTCTCCGGTTAATATTCGGCAATTTACAACCAAAATCTCTCTTTTTAAGTAAGCTAAGGAAATATTTTACATTTCCAAAATTGTTTGAAGATGGCTTTATTTTCCAGCTGGACTCTAACACAGACCTTTATCAGAGAAGGTGCCTGAGAAAATGGCAGATGGCTGGTGGACACAACTGTTGATCAAACCTGTGTAGCCACGGGGGGTATAGCTCAGTGGTAGAGCATTTGACTGCAGATCAAGAGGTCCCCAGTTCAAATCTGGGTGCCCCCTACTTTGACTATTGGTAGTATTTTGAAGCATGTGATACAAAGCAAAGTCACTTTATCAGGATTAACGTAAGACATTGCATGCCAGGAATTAATGTTGTTTCATACATGCAAACTTTTCTTTTTCCAAAAGGACAAATCCAATTTGAATGGGACAGCTGAAAATGTCGTGTCCATTTCCTTCCTTACATCAGTATTTCTACAGCTTCTTCTGGCAAATGGACATCCTTTTATACCAAAATGAGCAGCGTGCATTACACACCTCCCTGCTGTAGGACACAGGAGGTCAAAACCCATTAGTCCTTCTAAATCAAAAACTTATCAACAAATAGTTGATTAATAATCTTTCCATGAAGAAAAAAGTATTTAAAAACACAGAGAGTCAATGCTCCTTCCGTCAGGAGATGGCAGACAGTAAGATGTGATTCATAAAAACTGAACACAGAAACTAAGGCTTTCACACTGAGAGATGATTGGTCTGCTGGATCCGTGAAATCTAAGGGGGTTTAGCTCAGTGGTAGAGCATTTGACTGCAGATCAAGAGGTCCCCAGTTCAAATCTGGGTGCCCCCTGATTTTTAAGGCCCTGTAGCAATAGAAAGGACAAATCTGAGGAAGCAACATCTGAATATGTCAATCCCATAGGTGAGGCTGTGGCAAAAAGAGTCCATAAAAAGTTCAGCTACTTATTGTTAGCTTTCCTGAAACTTTATTACACATCCTTAAAATTTACTTGATCCAAAAACCAAGGTACAGTTTTCATCACGACCAACCATTAAGGTATCGGATGAGAGCATCCCTGAAGGGGGCACCCAGATTTGAACTGGGGACCTCTTGATCTGCAGTCAAATGCTCTACCACTGAGCTATACCCCCCTTGGTAGGCCTTGCGTCAAACGATAAAGCATCTGAACAGTCAGGCTCATTGGTCATTGTTGTCTTTTAAACCAAAATTAATTTAATCAACAAATACGTCAAAATATAGTGACAAACTGTTTTCTCCCTTTTTTTACGGGAATTAACACCATTAGCACTTTTAAAATGTGATATACTGAGCCTACATGATGACTCAGACAGTGAGCTGCTGGCTGCCTTTTAGACAGTTACACTGATCAGCGGCTTCTCTTTTTGTTCTCAAGTTGCTGCTGTCAGTTTTAGTCTCCGTGTGAGACGCTAGAGCTGGTAAACATGTGTTTCTGGAAAACAAAGAGAGCTGCAGCCAGTCCTCTTGCCAACCAAGAGACATATTCAATAAACATGCTTTTACTTCCATTGTTTGTTAGATTTTAAAACTGAAACCTTCAGAAGATCTGGGGACGGCTAATTATGAACAGGCCGCCACTTGATCTGGAGTCAAAGACTACCACTGAGCTTTACAGATGCTTCAGGTATTCTGGGCTAATTGGTCAGTGTCATGAAGGTTTCAGTCACACAGTTGACCCTCACTGTGACGAGAGAAGACAAGGATTGCCCAGGGATAAGCTGATTGATAGCACTGTTTTGTCAAATCTTATGCTAACCATCATGAACCCAAGGCCCCTTTCTCAAAACACTTACACTTTTTACAGGCCTTTCATAATATCCAGTGCAGTGGAACTATTTTTGCTGGGCTTTAAGGAGCTGATAAGGACACTTTGCACCAAGGACGACATCTTAAAACCCAAACACTTGGAATCAGAAAATTCTCAACATGCCACCTCATCTCAGTATGTCTGTTTGCTCCTTGTCTTTTCGCAGAGGGTTGCCTTGTCTTTTGACTTTCCTTTTTACGGACATTACATGCGACAGATCACCATAGCAACAGGAGGTAAAGTGTCATTTCCGAACAAATGCTCAAGTAACCTTTCCAGCACGCTGCATGTTCAGAGCAGAAATGTATTTGCAACAGTTAAGTCTAAGGTGTTTTCCCACCTTTTCATTTTCAGGGTTCATCTTTACGGGGGATGTTACACATCGTATGCTGACCACCACACAGTATATAGCCCCTCTAATGGCCAATTTTGACCCCAGCCACTCAAAAGAATCCACTGTACAATACCTGGATAATGGTATGATCCCACCTGAAATCTCAACAACTTTGTTGCCCCAAATGTTCTTTGATTTATTGGTTTGATTCTTCTTTGACTTGTTCACAGGAGAAGTGTTTGTTGTCCAGTGGGAGCGGGTCAGACTGGCAGGCAAAGAGTCAGAGGGCGCCTTCACATTTCAGGCTGCGCTCTCTAAAACGGGGACAATTACGTTTAGCTACCGAGACGTGAGATACCGCGTCACCATCACCTCCTTTGTGGCACTGCCAACTGGATTACGTAATTCAACACATCTGATAACTCCACAGACGTGCGTCTTTTTTTCTGTTCAACAGATACCGCTGCCGCTAGATGTGATTGGATCAGCCGAACATCCAGTGAAGGCCGGTTTGTCCGACGCCTTCCTGGTCACTTCACCCTCCTCTGAGTCAGAAGGTAGCCAGTAACATGCATTGTTGTCCTCTGGTACAGTTCCATTCATCAGAAGAAAAGCTGTCAACCTTCTGCCAGTATTGTGTGTAAATCCTCTGTCTCTCATTCAGCCGCAGCTCAGCAAACAATCTACGAGTACCATCGAGTTGAGATAGACACGACAAAGATCAGTAGTTACTCTGCAGTAGAGTTCACACCCCTGCCTAGTAAGTGCATACAAAGGATCAAAAGGATTTGTCTGAAGCATTGAAAAGTTAGTTTCCAAGCAATCATCTATTCTTTTGCTTCTCTACCTCTGTTAGCCTGCCTTCTGCACAGCAGCTGTGAGCTCTGCCTCTCATCCAACCAAACCTCTGGCTGCAGTTGGTGTAACGTTCTTCAGAGGTTAGTGGGACATTCTGCACAACCCGCAACCCAGCTTCCCCCTCGGTTCATCTAAACCTGTGTTTCAGGTGTTCGGATGGTATGGATCGGCACAGACAGGAATGGCTGGATTATGCCTGTTCAGATGAGGTAGAGCACCTGGAGAATTAACACCTGGATATTTCTGCTCCGTCATGTGGTTTTTATCTAAGCTCGGTGTTTATTGTGCGTGGGCAGAGCAAAGACGCAACGTGTGACGATTACCTGAGGGAAGACAGCTCCACTGGTTCGCCAGAGGCTGGAGACACGACGTCTTTGACTCCTCTTCAAAAAGGCTGTGAAAACGATGGTGTGTGGCCTGAACCATTACCCATTGTTACTATCATAACACTCTTTTTTTTGTCGCTCAGTGAAAACACGTCAATTTGTGCACCTGAGATAAAGAACTGTAATCATTCATGTTTTGCAGATGAAACTAAACGTCACATATTGAAGACTGGCAGCGGTGAGTCACGGCACGGTTTGTGGAGGCAATTGTTCTCAGGCTCTTAGTTCGGATTCCCAGTCATTTGCCTCCATCTCCACTGCAGACGTGAAAACAGATTCTTCATCCGCGACCAAAGGGTGGTCCGACATAGGAGTGGTAGCTGGTATAGCGGCTGCTCTGGTGCTGCTCCTGGGTTTGATACTCGTTGCTCTTTACATCCACTGCTCTCCAACTGCCACATCCTCACTTTACCTCATCCAGGTGAGGTTGATATAAAACCTTCTCCCCCATCTGATGAATGATAATATGCCCCATCCTAAGCTATTTTCATACTCTGGTGTCCTACAGAGACGCAGGAGCTACTGGCCTTCCTTGAAGTTTCATAAGCAACAGCCTGCTTACACAGAGGTGGAAGGAGAAGGTCACGACAAACACAGCATTGTTGAGGCCGGGCCATGCTGAGAGCACGAATTCAAAAATTCGATGATCAAGATATTTGCTTTTAGGCTCGTAATGTCAAATGTCAAAATGTCGTAATGTTACCAAAACATTTCAGTTCAAATGTTCTTGATGCCACGTTAAAGAAATTAAATGGTTGGAGATGTTTGGGTTCAGAAGTGTAAATTACAAGGCAAAAGTTTGGGTACACCAGCTAATGGTTGGTGCTGTATATCTCTGCTGAGAAGCACATGCATGTTGTGGTGCAGCTCCGGTTCATGTTGCTTCTAATCGTGTAGCTGTGTTTTTCTTTTTTTTACTTCTTGTTTTGTTATGGTAAAATGCCTTGCTCCTAGGTCCAGTGAAACAACAAAACACAAGCTTTGATGTGCTGTATGCATGAGGGATTTTTGTGCTGTTGTCCATTTGCGGCTGTGCATGACAATAAGGATATCGTTTTTCTAGATCTTTTACCCCAATAAAAGATTTTTCATTTGTGATAGGTTCCTGAAGAATGTGTTTATGTGTGTGTGTTTTATGTATTTTTGTTTTGCTGTATTTTCTGAAATCATCTTGCATTTGATAAAATTGTCAAATATACTGCTAAATGTTTGTTTTGTTTCTTGGATTGTGGTGATGTATTCATGTCACTAGACTTGTTATACACATTTTTATACATTTTTTTTTTCTGGTGAAGACTTTTTTCCTTTATTTAGTTGTATTGTTTTACCAGAATTCACAAGTAAAGTAAAATCTCAGGGCAGAGCCGTTTAGCCAGAAGGTGTCGCCATAACAAAACACTTCACGCGGACATCAGGACGTGCAGTGAACGTGGCAGATGTGTAAAAATACGATTTGGAAGCATTGGATTGGTAAACCTCCAAAAAAACTGCAAGATGATCACATGAGTTAGCAATGCAAGCACAGATGGATCGAGGACAGTAACATCGGACATGTTTCCAGACGGGACTCGATTGGATCTGTACTACAAAACAGAAAAAAATCGATCTATTTTTCCCCCCACAGCGAGCTAAAAAAACAGTGCACAACCTGTCCACTTCCCCATTCTATATAATAACTTCAGCGTTCAAAAAAAAAAAAAGGAGAAAAGAAAAGGAAAGAGAAACCTCCCACACTATACATCTTCCCTCTCTGCTAGGACACGCGCGTTCGAGGGAGAGGGGCCAGCGGGAGCGCGCTTTCCGTGTCTGAGTGGACTGACAGCCAGCTGTGCGGCTACAACAACAATCTCCTGGATTTGCTTCATACAATTATATTAGTCTAGGGTCGCTTCTGATCTTAATCGCACACTCTACCCGATTTCTACCTGATTATTCGACCGCACACGGCTAGAACCAGTATCCTCGGCGGTTTCTGTGCTAACTAGCTAGAAGAGCATTCCTCCAACATGAATCCGTTGTGTAGCAGATGTAATCTAGTCGTTTACCCCACGGAAAAAGTGAATTGTCTGGACAAGGTAAGACCACCGAAAACCTCTTAATTTGTTTGGTTTCTTTTGTAAAAACAACTCTAATGCACTTTCCTTATGGCGTGCCACGGCTAAGCGTATTTCTGTTGCCCCTAAAAACTAAACCTTTCATGGATTTTTGTGAATGAATCGATCAGCGCAGCAGAACAGGTATTTCGCTAGCTCGCCAGGCTAGCAGCTAGCTAACGTCTGGAATTGCGATGGCACCGCGGCGTGGTTTAAAAACGGGTCCGGAGCCCGTTCGCACACACAACGAGCTGCTGTTTTCCCAAAAAAAGAAAAAGAAAATGCGGTGTTTGATGTTTTGATAGGGCTGGCAGAGGTCTGCGGTACGGGGTCACCCTAAAGCGACAGAAAAAAGGCTGGTCGGGGCCTGGCTGGCACCTCTGCTGCCTTCAGGAGCACCGATTCAAATTCTAACCTCCAGACTCAGACACGCTTTTAATTTATTTAACATGCTCTCTGTTTAAGCCTATACGACTTTAAGGTATCCCTTTTTTTTTTCTTTAATCCTCGCGTGAAAGCTGCTCGCGACAGCGTGGACCAACTCTGGGCAGGTCGGTGTCCAATACGTGGCTAATCCAAGTCATGGATGATTAGCTGCAGGCTGGGTTTTTTTTTTTTTTGTTTTACCCAAAAGAACACGCCTAATCTCAGCCAGGGTGCTAATCTCATCAATCTGACCCTCAGTTTCTCTTTCGACGTCACTAATTCACATGTGAGCAACAGTTAGAGATAACACTGGAGCCACAATGACCCTAGAATCTTGAAAATTGCATTTATTTAAATGTGCTATAATCAACTGGACTGCAACTTTTTGAAGATGGAAACCAGTCATGCACCACACCTGGGTGGGGGGATCTCTTTGCTTTAGCAGGAGCAGCTGGATATCTCTTATGAAAACCAAAGGAGGAGTTGGGGCAAGTAGATAATTTGTGTAATGGACTCCTAGTGACTATTGAAAATCAATCTCTGTTGAGATGTGCTTATCTGTCTGGTTTGACAAACGAGGGAGGTGGAGAGAGCCCTTTATCGAAGGGAAAAATCAGCTCCTGACTGGATGCACTGCCTCTCCATTGCCTGGGTGTGATTAACGTCTTCTCATTGTGATCCGAACTGGAACTGAGTCACTTCATCGTCACCGGTCTGTTTAAAAAAAAAAAAAAAAACAAGCATAGAGAGGTGTGTTGGGCCTGTTCACGGAAGCCATGTTGGCCCGTTTGAATGCTGGCCTTTCTGAAAAGCCAACTGCCACAAGTGCGGTCTGAGTGCGCCGTGGAATCTGCCCTGAAGCGAAGTGAGTTCCAGAAGATAGACACTCCCATCAAACGTGCTCGGTCAGAGGCCCACTGCGCGATCCTGCCCCCCCCCTCCTCTGAACCAGGCAGAGAAACCTAGCCTACCATGTGTCTTTGCTGCCACGCCGCATCAGCGTTCACCCCCACAGGCACACCAAAACAACCTCCCTTCTCCTCCTCTCGCCACTCTCGTTTGTTGAGAGTCGACTGGGCCTTTTTTCCATGTGCTCTTCTACATCGGGGAGGAGGGGGGGGAGCAGGGTCTTGCCACTTCTGCATTAGTATTCCCACCATCAGATACCCTTACCTGACAGTCTTTTCGACTAAAGCTGGAGAAACTGAACCACAGAGTCCCGTTTGTCTGCCACATTCTGCTGTCTGTGGAGGGGCTGGGTTCTGCAGGAGCAGCGTGCCGCTCTGCACACGTGAAGGCAGGAAGTGCATTTTTAGGTTTAGGCTCTAGTGGGTAAATGTTTGCATTTTTTGTTTGGCTTAAAATTTTTTTAAAAAGCCTGTTCAGTCCATATTTTAGGGTCCTACTTTATCGGATTAGCGTTCTTTAGCCTCATCTGAGAAAAAGAGATGAAATTTATCCAATGCATTTTGTAACAATGAAGTACTTTATAACTAGTTTTGGTAGTCTCAGTGTTTTGTGTCCTTGTCACATTAAGAATAATAGCCCTTTTTAGCTTTTTGAAACAGGACAAGCCTATTTTTCCAGATGAATTGAGAGTCTGTGTGGAGTGGCCGGGCTCGAAGCTCATCTCTCACGGAAGTGCCTCTCTGCTGGACTGTCTGTGTGTTTAGTTTTACTACATGCTCTCTGCATTTTGAATGACCTGCATGTGAATTCACACTCTTCTAGATATTTGAGAACCTTTTTTTAATGTTTGACACACCGGGATGGAAATCATTTCGTGCTGTTCCCAACTCCAAAGTGGAGCATGAGCTACTCTTCCAAATTTCTATAAATAATTTGATAAGCTAATGCATTTGTTCTGGCAGCTCATATTTTAATCAGTAAGACTAAAAAAACAATCTATTCAGCTTGCTCTTAAAGATGTGCTTTGGATTATGAATTTGAGAAAAATAATTCAACAAGTCGTGTTTCTGTGCTGTTAAGATTATTTTTTTTATAACGCACTGATTTCTGTGTAACCAGTTGGTTCTGATAGTTCCAAGTTAAGTGGGTAAATCACAACTTCATGCCTGGAAAACAGTTATTAATTCCAAGAGTTAACAGCAGAAGGACCATTGATTCAGTTTACAGTTTGCACTGTGGATCCCTTTATCTATGTATTTGCTGCTCTACATACCTTTTACATATCTCCCATGGATATACTCACATTATATATGCACATTTTTAGTGTTTAGCTCTGTTACATGGTTGCTTTGGACGATTTCTGTTGGTCTCCATAGTGTGTATTCTTCTCAAACTCAGGAAATTACTGGAAAGAGTGTTAAAGGTCAGGCCATATTCGAGCTGTACAGCATCGCACAGCGTTTGCTTTATGAAAGGGCTCATATTATGCATCCAGTGCTTATATGAAGGCATTTTGAATAAGAAATTGTTCTTTTTAAAGGTTAATCCGCTAATAGTTTGGCTAACACACAGCTACGGTCTACTTTAAATCAAACAATGTGTTTCAAATGGCAACTTGACAAGACCAAAATGGGAAGAGTTTGTCTGCATTTGGGCACTTTTCACCTGATCAGTCTTTGAGGAAAATGTCTGCCAAATGCTTTATATATTTAGTGAGGTTATTCTGAGGGCTGAGTCATGTTGTCCAAATGCTACAGAGGGAGAAGAATCTGTGAAGCCACCACAAGTCACCTCCCTGTGATGACTCACAGCCATGAACAAACACCACAGTCAGGATCACTCGAGGTGTTGACTCAGTAGCAAGTGGCCACATTCTTTATCTCTGTACGTACATCAGAAAAAAGGGGCCATAGCACTTGTTGTATTTATTTTCTCCTCATTCAGATTAAAAGACTCCTTTTGTAGCCTCGCGGTGCGAAGGAAGATTTATACTCTCTACTAAGCTGACTATATGACATGATAAGGTTTTGAAATGCACATTCAGTTTGACCAAACAGAAGCATTTTGATGTTTTCTCTCAGCGTGTTTCTCTCTTTAAAATCAGGGTATTTTCTTTTGAATCTCGCTGCTGTACGGGAAGCATATTTCCATCTATATCTGCAAAGATTTTAAAACTCACTGCAAAGCTCGCTCCATCAAAGCACATCTGCTCACATTTCAGTCTGCCTTCAGGTCAGCAGCAAAACAGAAAGACCAGACCCAAACCGGTCGCATCAGGTAAGTTAATGATCGCACAGCCCTCCTTAATGAGTCAGTTTCCCCCAATTAGCACAAGCCAGATGTGCAAGTCTTGAAGAATGGTATCTTGCACAAGAATAATCTTTCAGGCTCAGAGCTTCTTTAGCAGTCTACTGTGTGCGGGGGTGTGTGTTTTGGTTTTCTTCAGTCACTGTCTGAACCATCACATCACTTATTAAATGCCTAACCCACGCTGAAACTTAAAGCATAGAAACAAGTCACTCTGAAGTCAGTATTAACTGGTTGAAGCTATTTGTAACTGATAAAACCGTTAAGGGCGCAGAATTCCTCTGAAGCCCAGTAGACTGAATCATGCAGATCCATTTTTTACACGGGTATATTTGTTCTATTCATTTAGGTTTATTATCAAACGGCAGAATGGAAAACGCCACCAACTACATAACTGTATCAATCACTTTGGGTGGAAAATCTGTTTTATTCTGAACGAGCAAGAGCAATGGTTCGGTGCGTGTGTTGCTATGGTTATTGGACTGCAGCAATGAGTAATCTGCGCCGTACGCATCAACCGCTAATGCTGGCAGGAAGTGGTTGACAGAAGAAAGGTAGCGTCATCTTAAGGCAGCCAGCTAGACCTACCTCATTGTGTGTCGTCATGTGGCATGCAGATGCTGGGGCATGAGGTATTTAGAGTGTGATAAACTTCACCTGCAATGTCATAATTTCACAGTATTTTGGTACTTGTATTTTTCTTAATTAAATCGTTAGAATTCTCTATACAGTATTTGTTACCAGCTGCATTTAGTTTCATGACAAACAACAGTTACATGAGTTCTTCGTTGTTGTTGCCTGTTTTTAATAATGAAACAATTCAGTTTTAAAAGAAGAGCGAGTCCATTAGACAAAGTCTGACAGGCGGGAGTCAAAGACGAGAAGATGTCTGTATACGCCTCCCATGTTCTTTATTGCTCTGCACTCAGCAGTAACATGGACAAACGGCCCTCTGTGCACAACAGAGGCATGCATGATGTTTAAAGTTGTTAATTTGACGGCGATCACTTGCATTTCTTTCTCACTGAGAGCTAACTGTGAGGCTGACTGAGCATTTTTGCTCCTGACTGGAGCGAGGATCCTCCCTGACACACAAGCATCATTCAGAGAGACAAATAACCTACATGCAGGCCTACACACGTATAGATGTCGGGTTAATGCTCGCTCACACATGTAAGCATGCATACACATCTGCCCTTGAGCTTGGCTGATGAAGGGAGATGGAGCTGGTTTTTTTCTTCCTTGCATTGGGTGTTTTATTTCTAGGGCTCCATCTCTGCAGTGTCCTCATTTTCCAGCTGACTGCTAGATCCTGCCTTGGTACCCAGGAGTCAGGTTTTCCTGGAACTGGACAAGGCCAACAGCTGGATGGCCTCGCCAAAACACATTTGTTATGTGCCTCATCTCCACATCTGTTTGTCCCCTCCTCTTCTGTGCACTGAGGGCCTTCAATTTAATGTATTCTTGCGTTATACTGCATATTCAGAACGCAAGGACGCCTCAATTTCAAAAGATAGTTTTCACCATACTGTGCATATCTTATTTGATTTGTGGGGAAACTGCAACAGCAGCTTCACTAAACACATCTGGTTGAAAGCTGGCCAGCTGTACCTGACAGCAGCGTGGGCTACCTGTTCAAGGTAACTTCCTGTTAGAAAGCCAGTTGATCTGAAAATGTAATGCCTATTCTGCATCTTGGATATTTAGCTTCAACTATTGAAACTAGTTACTATTATAGTTGTAACTTTATGATGGTGCTTCATCAACAACTTTTGAAAATGGCAGCACAGAAGAAAAACTAACAGTTGACGTGCCTGTTCACTCATCGTGAGCCTATTTCCAGTCCTTTAGCAGGATTCTGTGTTTACATTTTTATTCCTTCGACCTTTACCTGTTTTTCTGTTGAGTACATCCTCAAACTACTTTCTTTAGGAACTGGTAAATAGCAAAGACAGTTCTGCTGTCTCGTTACTCCCAGAGGATCCACAGAAATCTTCCTGAGCAACACTGGAAGAATTTAACATGTTGTTTCCATTTAGTTTTTATTGACTGACTCTCAAAATCAAAGCAGCATGCAAAACTGGTGGACGGTTTAAGACAAAGATGCAAGTTTCAATACAGCAAATAAATGCATGTAGCATTTTTGTTTTCTCTTTCCTAAATCACACGACTTTCCAAATGCTCAAACACAGAGTTTAGGTTCTGAGATCAGCCACCAAATAATTACAAAATGTGTGTACCCTCCAAAGCAGCCTTCATAATTGTTTGAGTATTTATAGATGAGGTGTGTAAATAAAAGTAGCATATTAGACACAGACACAGCAGACGTTAGTGTGAGGGAGACGGTGATATGACATATACGTTTTCCCAGTGTTTGTTTAATCATTCCTCAAATATCCTCAAAACTGCCACAGCTAGCTCTTTCATGCACCGCTTTGTCACCCTGTCAGCATGTTGCACGAATGTGTCAGAAGAAAAGGCCGACTCTCAACATTTCTGAAGACACAAAGAGCCAGATCACATGAAACATTTTAAAAATGCAAACTCCAGTGACAAAAACTTCCCAGTGGCTCAACGGGGTGGTTCAGTTTGGTTGCAGTCAGCTGCCCAGGAGGATGCTAACAGTGTTTACATTAGCGCTGAGCATATGGTCCTTTGATGGGCCCCTTAACATTCATATTGTACCGGGCATATGGACACCCGATGACCCCTAACTGTGTCCTTATTAATTACGGTCCGGTGTGTTCAGAGCTCCCTGTTCGGCTTCTGATCAACAGCTCGTGTGGAGTTGTTACTTGTCACCTGAGAAGGGGTGGTGGGTGACAAGGGTTGTCCTGGTGGAATGTGGGTTAGCCAGTCGGGCGAGTCCCGGTCTAGTCTGCTGAAGAGTAGAGTTCTGTGGAGTCACCTTATTGTCAATATTTATTCTGGGGAAAGAGCCGAAATCTATTTCAAAGTCCACTTTTAAATAGCCTCACCTGACGGCTCAGGTTTCGCATTAACATTTCTTTGTTTGGATTTCCCAGCGATGGCTTAGTCTCGGATGTGTCGCTTCAGTTTTGAGATGCGCTAAACGGAATCACGTCTGAGATGGCAGTGAGCGCCGCTACGGATCAGCTGAAGCAGAACGGGCGTTTGGCTCCGGCTGGCGAAGGGATTTTTTCCTTTATTGTTTTAGCCAGAACAATGAGAGAGAGAGCAGCGGAAAGCGTAACACCATGTGTCCAGCCGCCACTCCCTCAGGGCCCAACCGGGCTGGGGTGGGATAAGGAGTTGGTATTTGAAGGCTTGGCTTTAGATCCCAGCTCCCCCCCCCCCCCGTTTCCTCTGTGATCCTCCTCTGCTGGGTGCCTCCGCATCGTATGGCCACAAAGCCAAACGTGCACTTGTTAGCTGTGGATGCACACCGTCCTCTGTGGTCTGCACATCCAAAATTCAGCCCGAGGCCGCCTTTTAGATGGTCTGCTATCGTCTGAGGCGAACGGCTCTCTTTGGTCTGCAGATTTGTGCCCATCGCTAGTGTAATCGTGTTTACAGTCGGTCTTCAGTTTCCACACGGTAAAACTCACCCCGCTGAGGATTTATCGTTTATTTATTTATGTTTACTGACACAGCAACACGTGTGGCATCAGCCCGCTTCCTTCGTTGAAAGGAATTACTGTTGCCAGTTTTGAGTTGTTCATGTCTTTTTGTCTTTCTTTTTGTTTTCTTGTTGAGAGAAGCATTTCAAAAGTTTCTGCCTCTGTCAGACTCGTTTGGGTCGTCCATTGGGAAGCTTTTTGTCTGTGGGCAATTGAAAGCGATAAACGGCGGGTGAAAGAATGAGAGGGATGGCAAAGCGCCCTTAAGCCATGTTAATAAGGACTCCCAGTTTTGTGTCCTTTCTGTTGGTGTCTTTATGCTCCTCCCTCCCTTCCCTTGATGATAGCAGCCAGATCATTGCTTCACTCATTGGCGTTTCCTCTCGCTTACCCACCCTTTACTAGCCACTCTCCCCTCCTCCCTTTGGTTTTGCTCAGTTTTCTCCCCTTCTGTCTCTTTTTGAACCTTCAGGCCCCAGATCGGCCTTGTTCCAAGACATTGACAGAAAAGGGTCAAGTGGGTGGGCGGGAGTTAAAGAAGATTGAGGCCCGAGGTCTCATCATGATAGATACAGGAGCTTTGAAAATGAGCAGTGTTTTGAGGGGCAGAAAACAAAAGAGGGGGTTTCAGACCACCTGCAGTGTCTCTAGAATGAGTTAGGAATAAATCTACAACCCACAGAATTAGATGGATACATCCTGGTCATTCAAACTTCAGAGTTCCACGACACCATTGCAGCCAACTCGGCCTATTTATTAATATTGACCAAACTATTTGCCAACTAAGGGGAAGTTGGTTTTCCTCTAAACTGTTGAGTGCCAGCATGCTGTGTTGCTTCACTTTTGTTTCACGCAGTCCTCACAGTTGATTCTTTTTCTGTTCGCCTCCTGATTTTTGTCTCGTGAAACCTTGTGGGAATAAAAAGTAGTTCTGGCCATAAACGTTCAAAGAGCTGGGTGAAAGACAGCGATTATTTAATTGATTTATTCATTTACTTCTCTCCCCAAATCATTCCATACTTAAAGTGTATTTTCCTCTCTGTTTCTGACAGATTTGGCATAAAGGATGCTTCAGCTGCGAGGTCTGCAAAATGACTCTAAACATGAAGAATTACAAAGGCTTCGAGAAGAGACCATACTGCAATGCGTAAGTTGTCCATTAAGTTTTTTTCTGAGTGTGTTGTTTTTCATGTTTTACATTGAACAGGATTCAGCCTGAATCCCAAAGACCATGTCAGCAGGGCTCAGTCCGTCCACAGCCTGATTTGGAGCTAAATGTTTGTGCAAGTCTGTGCTCCAACCCAACCATGGCCCCTCTCTCCCGCCTTTGCTGTTTATCTGTGACTATTCCAGCTCCCCCCCCCCCTCACCGAAAAACCCTATGGGTGGTGTGGGAAAGTGCCTCTTTCCCTCCTCTTCTCAAAAAGGAGGGGGGGGTATCAACAAAGGAAATTCCTGAAGTTCCTCTACAGTGACAGAGATGGACTCTCTGAAACTAGCATGTCCACTCATGCTTCAGTACATGCTCACAAACCAAACGCTCCCCAGGAATCCATGGAATCTCCCTCGCTCATTACTCCTAGTGGTTTTCTCTCCTAAATGTGCTCGGAAGAGTTGAAAAACGAGCGCGAGTTCAGAGCGGGAATGCAGAGAAAAGGCGTTCCTTCGTGTCAGGACAAGCTCGTCCGCAGGGCTGCCATTTTATTGACACGGACGAATCAAGAAGGCGGGCTGGTTTTGTCAATAGCAACATTAGAGAACAGCATGTCGCTCTGCTGGCTGCAGGTCAGATGTCTGCTGTATATTTTTGCTCCCCTCATGACTCAAATCAGGGAGAGTGAAGCGACTGATTCTTTTTTTCTCCCCAAAGTAAATAAGAAAAACTGATCGAAGGTGTGTCTGGATGAAGAAGAGCGACAGCCAGACCGAATGAGGCGGCCTCTGTTTTCACAAAGATTTAATAACTGAATTCTTTTTCATCAAAGATATTATAGTCTCCCCCATCAGCCAGCACAGCTGTTTGCAGCTTGGTGGAACCAGTTCAAGCCAGGAAACCTAATCTTCCTCAGAATCAGTGACTTCTTCATATTCGTCAGGTCACAGTTCTATAAAAATGGGGGTTATTCTCTGTATTTGTAGTTTGAATGTAACAAGGGAAAAGTTGGGTCTAAGAGAGAAGGGATGATAAAAAGACAACTGCTACATCTGATAAGCAAAAACCCAACCGGAATGCAAATGTTTCCGTAGGGCACACTTCCCCAGGTGAGCGTGTGCCTTCCCAGCTTTGAAATGTCACTCCCAAGGCTGACATTTCAACCTGTTAGAGGCTGTTTTTACTCTCCCATCAACCTGTGAACGTGCTGCTAGTCTACAAAATGGTCAGAGCGTGAAGCAAAAGTGACTAAACGTAATCATGAATGTCTTTATTTATAGGAGCTATTTATAGAATGCCAGATGACTGTAATACCTGTGGTTTTATTCATTGTCACTGTACAGAGGCCAAAGTTGCGTAGTGCGTGCACTCTTGGTCATAATTATGGCGATTAAAGCGCTCCACCCATGCTGCACCAACGCGGTGTCTGCAGACGAGGGTGTGACCAATCAACACCTCCCGCCGTCTTATTGACTCACTTTGATCTGTGCAGCTTTATTTAAGCAGCACAATTCAACAGCGATGCGATTTAAAGCACGTTACACAGCATTAAAACAAGACGTACAGTAACAATTAGAACAACAACAAAGCGAATAGAGTGAAACAAGGAAAAGAGAGCAGGGCAAACGCTCAGCAGGGCTCTAATAGACTTCAGCCAAGAGAAGGTCTGATTAGCCTGTAAGCAGATAAAAGTATCTTTAATGGCCTCGTAACATCAATAATAAAGATTTATGTAATAAAATCCATCTTGCTGATTTGATCTGGGCCCTTTCTTTCCCTTAAGATGGAGATTAAAGTGTGAATAAATGACAGAAGCTAGTTTTGTGAAAGCTTTGCTTACCTTCCTCTTTTCCCAGTCCTTCAGATTTGGCCCCCATATCAGAGCATGGCCCTTCATAGCATGTTTATTATGCCTCGTAGTGTTTGTTTTACAAAACTCTCAGCAGAGCAAACTCCATCTGAAGTAGGGGCTGCTGCATCAGGGAGGAATTCAGACTGCTCTCCATTATTTGGGGGATAACTGCCTTTTAATTCCTCCTCTATATTTGACCTTAACCACTGATATAGGTATTGTTGGTATTTACTCTATTCCTGTGCTCTTCCCTTAGACTCCCCCCCCTCCCCTGGTGAGGTGTTGCAGTAACAGGGGGTTGTGGGAGACTGAGGAGGGCAGATATGCAGACAGAAAAATGTAACTCTTCCCTGGAACTCAGAGAGATGATTTTTGTGCACTTCACTTAATGGCCCAGAGGCTGATCCTATTTCAGAAATGAATTAAAAAATTGCTCATAACATCTTTAATTGAACGCTTTCATTTCAAAGGGCCCTCTGGTTTTCCCTCCACGTTTCAGCATGTTGGAATCTTGTTTATGGTTATTATTAAGTGAAAATTAAAACCAGTCACAGTATTTCATGTTTTTCCTGGTTGTTTTCCAATTTACGATTTTTTTGTTTTATTTTAATGAATTTATTTAGGTTATGTATAATTTCTTTGTCTTCATTGCAAACCGACTGGTAGTGAGGCCTAACGAGAGAAATAACAAGTGGACATCAACCTGCGCTTCCCTTACAGCCATCCATGTCGTCAGTGCTGCGTCTGCCAGCTGAATGTCGCAGCCCGCCCTGTCTTTATCTGACCTTTATCTCATGTTGAAGGGATTTTGTACTTGTAAGTGAGATGTTGCTGCTGAGGGATGCTGTACAACCTTTCCAGGTCTCAAAGGGGGAAACGGGGCCTCTACATCTCGTGATCCCACAATGCAAACAGTAGGCAGCTTGTGTGTGTGCGTGTGACTACACGAGTTGCCCCTCTACTCCACGCGTAGTACCTCTCCTCTCTCTTTAGTATTTGTGCATGTGTCTTTCCTGTTTGCAGCTTGTTAATCTCCTCATACAATCTGACGCATCGTCCAGTGTAATAGTGACTCACTTAGACACACACTGATGCACGCTACAGGATCTCACTTATATCCGCAGCCTTGTTTGTGTTTGTATCTTTTCCTGACCTCCTACGGCTTCATTGACACATTTAAAATGACATGAAGAGTGAAACTAACTGTCATCAGGTGTCCTCAAACTGCACGCTTTCCGTCTCACGCAAGTGAGGGATTTTGGGTGTTGAAGCTCCATGAAAGGTTACTGGTGTCACGGCAATCAAGACGCACCCAATTCCAGAGATCAATAAAGAAATATTTCTACTCTCTGGACACAAACCTGCTTTAAACAGGTTTGTGTGACTTTGTCTTTACCCCGGTATGAATTTTCCAAATGCAGCAAAACCCGCCACTCAGCAATGAGTGGAATGACTGTAATGTTCACAAAGAGCAATTGAAAGTAAAATAATATTTTTTTAAGATGGAACATAAACTTTGAGCTCTGCTGGGTTTCTTTTATACGACAAACAAACTGAACACTGTCAGAAAACGTCCTTCTCTTTGTGATGAGATCCCACAGAACAATGAGTGTCCTTTTTGTTTTGCTTGATTAGGTTTCCTCACTGGGAGGATCGTTTCAGTTCAATGGGTCCCTTCTGAAATCAAAGCTGAGGAGCAGAGAAGGATCAAATGTTGTGTATCGGAGCTTAAAACCCCCAAACTCCCACTTGCCCACTTCCCAACCTTACAGTTTGAAAAGTGCTAAAGCCTGGATAAATCAAACGCACTCCTTTGTTATTCCACCTCGCGTCGGGAAGGAGAACTGCCTCTGGGTGTTGTGTACCACGTTGTCTGGGTAACAGTAAACTAAGTAGGTTACCCCGAGGCCGCCGTGGCTGTTGAAGATTTTTGAGGGCGCCCGGCACCCCGAGGCGGACGCCACCAGAGTCTGTTAGCGCTGTCAGATCAGCAGGCAGAACTCTGCTCCCCCCTCTGGACTGCTACCATGTGTTTTTGCTGCCTTAAGGAGCTCCTTGAACCGTTAGGGTCCATTATTTGTGGAGCGGGAGCTGCCCTTTGCTCCAAACCCTCCGATGCATAACAACACCGACCCATGTGCATATTAACCACGATTACCGATTAGTAAATCCAGGAAATCAATAAGTCTGTGTCTGGCTCCCACACTGATGCTTTGTGTCCCGCGTGTTTGCATAGAGGCTGTGTGTTTCTTGCTTATTCCAGTGTGTTTATATTTGTCATATTTGTTTTTGAGCGTCTCCCCCGAGTAAAAGGAAGTTCTGTGTGGCCGCTTCTGTTTTTTTTCCTGACTCTGTTCAGAAAAAAGCTCCCCTTTCTTTCTCTGCTGACGGGGCCTGCCCATGACATCATCATCCCCCTCGCCCACTGTCTCTTTGACCCTAATTCCGCGTCTGGTGCATGCCTTTCCTCTTCCTGTTGTCCCTACTAGGACTGTACTCCACGTAGGAGCCATTTGCCTGTGCATGGTTAGCATGGAAAGCTTTTTCCACACCTGCTGTGGCTCGCCTCCAAACTCTGAAACCTCGGGGCTTTCGCACCCCCCCCCCGTCTGCACTTCCTCTTTTCAGACTACCTTGGCTCACACTTGCAGAGCATTGTGCGTTCCTACTGACATGCTTTTTGTCTACAGGGCCCCCTAACTCAACCCCAGGACCACCTTGAATAACAAACGCATCCACAGTGGGGCCACAGAGTGTGCACTGCTTGATTTACGCTGTTTTCTCTCGGAAGCCGGGCCCGGGCTTCACAGCACGAGTCCTAAGTGGAAGCTGGCACGGTCCACGCAAGCGTTTGGCCATCTTTTGTATTAATTTGTGTCCGCTGTGTCTCCTCCTCAGACACTACCCCAAGACAAACTTCACCTGTGTGGCTGACACTCCAGAGAACCGCCGCCTCAAAGAGCAGAGCAAGATGCAGAGCCAGGTAACGTGTCGCCATCAGCAAAACAGTCCAGCTCAGCATTCACTGAGCTTTGCAACATGGATTTAGTCACATTTCCTGCAGCCAGCCTTATTAAAAGACCTACTTGTTTTAAAATCGACTGACCCTGTAAATCAGTGACAATTCTGGAACTGTTATCTTTCAAACACTTTTATTGGTGTCATTGTTTTCAGTCATATTCAAAGCTCTGATATGGACTAATTCAGCTTTAAAATTATAGCTTCACAAACAGTGAAAAAAGATTTAAGGTAGTAAAAGCAAAGGTCACAGTGACACATAGACAGGTTAAGAATAATTTACAACCTTTTTATCTGCTCTTTGGACACGACATAAGAAGGCCCTTCCCATGCATGGACCTGCATCTGAGCTCATCCTGAGATGTAGTCTGTAAACTCAGGAATTTGTTCGTTTTTTCATGGAACCTCAATGGGAACCTGGATTTTTTTTTTTGTCTTTCCTTTTTTTTTGTGGAGCTGGAAAAAAGTAGCTCCCTACATGTGTAGGTGTTTATTCAAAATAGGCCGAACGGGGATTGTTGTTTTTTTCAGACATGCTCCTGACTGTAGCCTTTGTTAATAGCTCGATAGAGGATTCTTCTAATCACCAATATGTGGCAGAAAGATCAGAAATTATGACAAATTACTTGAGGTCTCCAGATCATTGTATTTCTATGCAAAATTGGGCTGAGGTCTAATTTGTAAGCAAAGGAAGAAAATCACTACCGCTATTCCTAATTATAAAGACCCAAATATAAACCAGGGTTTAAAAGGGAAAAATAAGCTCAATGACCAAAATATCCATCTGAACTGGGTCATGTGTTAAATCCTTCATAAAGATGGCCCAGAGACTCAGATTTGTGCTCACCTCCATCCTCTAGATGAAAAAAATAATTGACATTGTCATTTTGTCGGTGCCCACTTTCTTGGCACAAGCTTCCAAACGCGCAGTTTCACTTCTCTTATTCGTGCTGTGATGTCGGGCCGGTTTTCTTTGCACTCAAGGAACTGCTGCGTGTGAGCGCAACCGCCTCAGTCACCCAAGTCCAAATGTTTACAGATGTCATTTCAACTCGGTTTTACCCCTTTTCATTTTTTATACTTCCCCTTTGAGCATTTTCCTTAATTACGCAAAAACTTTGAGTGGAGGAGGCGTCGCCACTGAAGTTTAAGCAGTAAAAACGGAGGAAGAAGCTTTTCTTAACATTAGGTCGAGAGAGTCCCGATAGGAGTACCAAAGGACTGCTGGCCTCCTCCGACTGTTACTATCAAACACTACAGATGAGATTTGAGGGGGGGGTGTACATGAGAAGTGGGTTTGTGGATTGGGGATAGCGGTCATGTGGGGAGGGGCAAAAGAGATCAAGGTGACAGATGGTGTTTTTCTACACGCTCTGTGCATCTCAAGAGCCCCCCACAAACACCCAGCCATCACAAAGAGAACAGACACCCCTTTCAATAGCGATGAGAGTCAGATTATAACACCATAAACATGTTTGCTTCCATGACGAATGGCAGGCTTGTTCTGCTTATGAGCAGGACGGTTCACCAGAGAGAAAGAGTGCCCCCAAGTTTGAACTGAAGCGGATTTGCTTAAAATGGCTGATAAAAGTACAAGGTTTTAACGGAGCGTGTGCTTTACCCTCCCAAAAACGAAGCTCGATTGAAATAATTTCAATTCCCTTTTCGTTTGGAGTTTGCGAAACGGGAAGCCGGTGTTCAGCGCAGACAGTTGACGGAGTTACAGCGTGCTCCCACTGGTGTGTTCCCAGTGCAGCGGTAACAAAGGTGAAAGTCCAGCGTCTCTGCTGCTGGGTTGCTACGCAAAGCCTATTGCTATGGCAGCCGGGTAGAGGTTTGTCACACCTCATTACGAGACTTAGCAGGAGGAAAGTGAAACAAGACACAGACAGAGGAAAAATAAAGAAACTGAGAGGGAAGGACTCGGGGAGGAGGAGAGGGAAGGCAACGAGGCACGTATAAATGAGGTGGGGAGGAAGAATGAGACGGGAAGGCACCATCGCAGCAAAAAGGGAGGAGTGCAGAAGGAAAGAGGAAGAGATAAAAATGAAGTGCCCTGGGAGGGAAGGCTAGAGGAATGCAAATAGAAGCAGAGAGAGAGATTAGAAAAAGGGAGAGCTTTAGCTCCACAGGATGACTTACTGTTGCTGTTGAAGCAGTAAAATATGAATGAATGAGAAAGAGGCTTTGAGAAGAAGGATTGTGGGAGGGGAAGGAAATCTGGATCATGATTGGTGGTGGGGCAGCTGTGGCTTAGAGCCCAACAGACAAAGAAGATGGGCTGTGGGAGACGGTTATTGATCATACGTTGACTGAGCGAAGCAGCAGAGACAAAGATGAGTGATTTGTGGGAAGACTCGTCAGTTTTCAGGGGATTTTCAACATTTATTCATCGTTTCGTTACTCGGCAGTGACGAACGAGGTGTAGGTTACACATCGGCCGTGAATCACAATCACACCATCTGATCACAAGGCGTCAAGAGACGAGAGGAAGAGCGGTCAGCACTCCGCGAGGCGGTGTCAGACTGTAGACGTCTGGCCGAGCTGCGTTTTCCCGACAGCAGGCCGGGCGCCCGGGTCCCATCCACGCAGCTGCAGGAGCTGGGGCTCTGGGCGGGGGGGGGGGGCAGAAGACCAGGCGGAAGCACCAGGCCGCATGCAGCCGTGTCATTAGTTCAAAAATAACAACAGAGCGAGCCTTCCTGTTTCAGGTTAAGCGGTTGTGGGTTTGAATACTCGGCGTGAGCCGCAGGGCAGCAGCTGGGGGGGGGTGGGGGGGGTCAGAGCTCCTGGTGTTCTCACTTCTGACGCTTTTGTTGCCGTGCGTGCTGAGCGTTTCATTCTTTGGCCTTCAGGCCACAAAAGGGTGGGAACACGCGCTCAGAAGCGCCGCTTGTCTGTCACTACCTCTCGTTTTGACCTTATATGGCTGCCACCACGTCCTGTACGCAAGGCCCATTCTCCTAAGCAAACAGGAAGTTAGCATCACCAAAAAAAAAACAAACCCAGAGCCACACACTTTATTTCAAAGAAAATATGATATCAGGCTCAGAATATCATTCAGCCTGCGCCCTCTCCCAAGAAGTTTTGAAACAATAGAAGTGACTGCCGTAGCAGGTTTTATGCAGATCCTGGCTGGAAAAGCAAAAACAGGAGTAGAGGTCATGTAAATAGAGGCGACATTTGAGCATGTTTATGCCGGCTCATGTAATGATGGTAGGCTGTAGAAGAAGCCACAGTCACCATTTCACTGCTAATTTTAAAACATTACATTCTCAGTAAAACCCTTGAAAAGAGCTGGTGCTCAGAGGCTAGAATCTTGCATAATTCTTCTAAACGGGGCAGTTTTCTGTTGTGAATTCCTTATGTTGTAAGAATCTAGGTCAACGCATCTATAAATATTAATTTGTTCTCTATTTGTTGGGTTTGGCTTGTTGACTCACACACATTGAACAGTTCCCGTGAGTGTGACAGCTACTTCAGTGTTTAGTGTTGAACCTTTTAACCCTTTCCTTCCTGATCCTGTTTGTCGTGCAGGTTCTCTACAGGGAGGATTTTGAGAAGAATAAAGGAAAAGGCTTCAGCGTGGTCGCAGACACGCCAGAGATGCAGAGAATTAAGAAAACACAAGTCCAAATGAGCAATGTAAGTGTTGGCGGCAACCTTGAAAACTCAGAGTAGCGCACGGCTAATTTATTCACTCCCTGACAGGTGTTTTTTTTTTAGCCATTGGGTTTTTCATGACCAGGAAAGAAGATGATCCTTTTCAGGCTTCAAAGATCACCCGATTGAAGTATTTTCTTCCTCCATCATCTGTTTTCCGCTCGTCTTTTAACGGAATTCTCAAATCTCTCTCGACACAGAGTTCTTTCTCCTTTCCCTCCACTCTCCCCTCTCCCTCTGCTCCGCTCATTGATTTGCCATTTTGCTGCAAGTACAGCGCGGCCATGTGGAAATGTATGCCGTGTTTACCTTGTGTCCACCGTCTCTCCTCACTCAGCTGTGAAGGTCTTTATTTCCCCGTTGAACACCCTCACGCACAAAACGCATCATTATACACAACCGGCTCTGTGCTGGCCTCACTAATGACACAATTAGTGTGGAGGATGATGGATAATTGCTGCTTTCATGCAATGAAAGATCTCAAATGTGCCAGGCAGAGGAAGAAGCACATGCATTCCTCAGTGAGCGCCACTTGAGGACAGACGGAGCTCCACGGCGGGACGGCCTCGGCCTCCAGCGTCTGCTTCCATTCGGTGTGTCATTCACAGCTCATCATTGTGGAAGCACTCCAGATTAATGTAAAATCGGAGGTCATGGATTTTCATCGTACCAGAAAACGCAACTCAATTTAAAATGCAAATTGTTACCAAACAAACCAATGTAGAATAATCCCATCCAGCATGTTTGTAGTTTGCTTTCTTTTTTCCCTAATTCCGATTTTGTTCCCTATAGCCTTCTTCTTGGCCTGCTTTAAGGATTGAAAAGTGTCTTTGGGGTTTAGTTCAGCAGCACACTTCCCATAAATCCACTCGCTAACGCGCCATCTGTTCGACCATCTCCCTGAAAACAAACTAAAATAATCTCCCTCACACACTCACTCATTTAGCATATTGCATTTGAAAATAGCCACTGTGTCCTCTCAGCCTCTTGCTTCTCTCTTCTTGCACAAACACTCCACGATCCCATCCACCCTGTGAATACCCCCCCCCCCCCCCCCCCCCCAAACACTGCCGGCACAGTGGGCTCTTTGAGCCCGAGTGGAAGCAGGGACAGAATCAGGGTTGTAAATCTCCACAGAGGCACTGTGAGTCTGTCTGCTATCAGCCTGGAGATGGGGTGGGGGGGTAGGGTTGGGGGGGGTCATAGAGTAGGTGCTCAGTTTCGCTGGCGTGGCCCCGTTTGTGCCGAGGTGAAAGACTGATAAAGTCTGCCTGAAATCCTCTCTCTGGATATGTATTTCACTCTTTTCTAAGCTTCTGCTGAAACCTTTCATGTGTCATTCGACACCTGTGATGTATGAAATCATTATTGTTTTGGATTTCCGGCTCAATTTTGCTGGCTCATTCCCCCTCTGAAAGTTCACCTCGGTTCCGTTTTTATCCTCACCCGTTTTTTTTTTTGTTTTGTTTTTTTGTGGTATGTAAACGACGGTTGCTATGCAACCCCGGCCTCACAATACTTCCGACTGCTGAGATGTCATTTCCTTTTAGCATCAAGCCGCTTCCCGTGGCTGCTCGAAACCGCCCCACCTATCAACACAAACACGGAAAGGCTGCAGGGCCGCCGGGAGACCCCTGGTGGACGGAAAATTAAACCATTTTCCGGGAAAAAAAAAGAAGCGGCGCTCCCTCAACCATCCCTCTTGACTTTAAGGTGTTTTCGTTTCAGATTAAGTACCATGAGGACTTTGAGAAGCGGAAGATGGGAGGACAGGGCCCACATCCGCAGCCCAGCAGCCCCAACCCAGGTACTCATCCAAAGTCACTTTTTAATAGGCTCAACGGTCGTTTTAGCAAAAGGAAAAGCAGTCGCTCCCTGCACAACAGAAGCTCCCAGTCTCATTTGTTCACCTCCCTGTCTCTTCTACATCAGTCCATTCATTAGAAACCACCGCTTTATTTCCCAATCACGGCTCTCAGAAGGTAACGTTAAATCGTTTGATCCCGTTTGTTACACAAGCCCAAAGAAATCCAGCAGCTTTTGAGATTAAAAACAAAACACGTGCAGACGGATCCATTATCTGAGAATATTTGTTTCAAGCTTTGAGTCAAGAAGCTCAGCAAAGCAGGTTACCTGCTACCTTTTTTTTGGCACGCTGGACTTTTTACAGAGCGTGTCTTTGTTTTCTAAAGTTGCGCAGCAGGATATTCAGCACCAGTTAGTCGCGTGTTTCGGCTCGCTTTTGAACTCAAGACCCTGTTCAAATGAACGTGTGTGTGTTTGGAATGAGGACATCTCTTCCCCATCTACTCTCAATAAGAGGAGAGATTCATAGTGAACTTGTGCTTGGTTCGCGGTGCGTTCGGGGTCTCAGATCTAGCTTGAAGGTAAGTGAGTTGACAGCTCGTTCATTTGTCCTGCCCTCTCCTTTTCAGGGGCCTACCAGCCGCCCGCAGCCTCTCAGAACTACAACTATGAGCCCGGGCCCGAGCCAGTGCGCCAGGCCGCCGCCGGACCCCCTCCCAGCTCCGGGGTAAGCGCCCCACACACACACACACACACACACACACACGCGCACACACACACACCACCTGAGTGACTGCAGCAGCTAAGAACGACGGGCTTCAAAGGTCTGAGGGAGCTCACTGTCCCTCTCTGCCCGCAGAAACGCTACAGGGCCGTGTACGACTACTCTGCCGCCGACGAGGACGAGGTGTCCTTCATGGACGGCGACGTGATCGTGGACGTGCAGCAGATCGACGAGGGCTGGATGTACGGCCGCGTGGAGCGCACCGGCCTGGCGGGCATGCTGCCCGCCAACTACGTGGAGGCCATCTGAGTGTGAGGGAAAGGAGAGAGAGAGAGAGAGAGATATAGAAAGGGAGGGAAAGAAGGAAAGGAAAAGCCCAGTGCCATCTCATCTTAATGCCGCTTTCTCTTAAGTTTATTCTTGTTCCCCCCCCCCCCCCCTTTTTTTTTTTT